CGGCCAGAGGGTGGGGGCGCCCCGGTCAGGCAGAGAGGCTTAAGGCGGGCTGAAGGGCCCGACCTGCGGCGTCTCTTCCGGGCTTCAGCCCTCAGGGAAGCGCCAGATGAAGCTCAGCCTGAGACAGGGCAACCTGCACTCTTGACGCTGACTCGGGCCCCGGGTGCAATGGACTGGTGGTTGGTTGGGTGGTTTGACTGGTTTTTATATCGCCCGTCTGCCTACCGAGGCCACTCTGGGCGGCTTACAAATTCAACAGCATCATTGAACAACCACACAGAACAAATCCCATATGGAGAGAGACGGCCAGCGGGAACGGGGGGGGTGGAGTGAAAAAGCCAACGGTGTGCCATCATCAGTGTTGTGGCTGGAAAGATGACAATAAAGTTGCTGGGCTTGCTCTTTGGTGTGAATCATTTGAACACCCAAGAAGGTTGCCGGAGGCTCCTCACGAATGTTCCTTGAAGTACTTCCCAACAATCCTTTGTGGGAAATGGAGGGCTGGAAGGTAGCTCTGAAGTTCGTTAATGTTGGCATTGCAGATGGATTGTTGTTTGGATAGGCATGTCATAGCCAATTCTTCCTCAGCACTTAAAATTTCACCCTGATGCTGGATATTGAAAGTACTGTATTTGAAAGCAGATGAGAAGGAGACAGTAGTTTTCGTATTCGTTTTTTAAATGCTTGTAATTGTCTTGATGTGTAGTGCTCACTTAGTTCCTTCTAAATTTTTGGCAGTAAAACAGCTATTTTTCTGTATTTTGTTTAAAGCTTTAGAAATGGGTTTCAGTATACTCAGCATATGTTCAACATTTCTTTTAAGCTCAGTGTTGAGGATTTTGCTGTGCCAGTGCCATCTATTTTCCCTTAATTTTGGTAACAAACTGTCATCAGAATAGACCAGTTATTGATAACACTGCTCAAAACAATCCACTGCAGAGTTTCATCTAACATCTTGTGGGAGTAGTATCTTGGTCCCACCCATTCTGTTTAGAACTGCTGCTGCAAAATAATTGTTACAGAGTAGTTTCAATGGGACGTGGTGGCGCTGCGGGCTAAACCGCAGAAGCCTCTGTGCTGCAAAGTCAGAAGACCAGCAGTTGTAAGATCGAATCCACGCAACGGAGTGAGCGCCCGTCGCTCATCCCTGCCAACTTAGCAGTTCAAAAGCATGTAAATGTGAGTAGATAAATAGATACCACCACGGTGGGAAGGTAACAGTGTTCCATGTCTAGTCGCGCTGGCCACATGACCACAGAAACTGTCTACGGATGAATGCTGGCTCTACGGCTTGGAGATGGGGGTGAGCACCGCGCCCTAGAGTTGAACACGACTGGACTAAATGTCAAGGGAAACCTTTACCTTTACCTAGTTTCAATGATATCAGTATTATTGCTGAGATGTTTGGCTAGGAGGTGTAGCAAATGAGCACTGCAACAGTATGTTGTTAGCTTTATATTTCCTTCTTTCTCTTCTAAATTTCTCTTCTTGGGTACATTTGCAGTATTGTCTGTGACCAAACTGTGTACTACACATTTGAATTTTTGTTCACTTATTATTAAATTTTTTGCTGCCGCTTCTTGTAAGTATTATGTGTGTGTGCATATCCTGATGCATCAATTGTTTTTTTTTAAGGAAGAAATTCCCTTCTGTTGTTACACAGAGCATATAATAGGATAATTGTGGGCATTACACCATCCACGGAGACTTAGGTTAACAATTTTACTCTCTAGAGCTGTTGCATCTTGCTCCGTTTCTCTGTCATACATGTTTTCCAGTTGTTTCCCCACAACATGTGCTCTGTGGGGTGGACTGTATCCTGGTCTCAGTGACTGAACCATATTAATTAAACATGAGTGACATTCAATCATGTAAACTAGGCTTTCCCCCCCATCAATTAATTTTTTCTAATGTTTTTTAACCACAAACCTATCTATGGTGGTTCCTAAATAGTCATCTTTTTCTTTCTTTTAGGTGACTAGGTAACTGAAACACTCTTAAATAATTCTGTAACTGTAGAACAGGAAAATAGTGATCTTCAAGGTGGATAGTTTCTAGAATCCTTTATGTTGACGATGGATTCCTCAACAAAGAAGTTATTATTTGCTGTTACTGTATTTATATTATTTCTGTTTATTCAGTATTACTCATTGTATTCATTGTCACATACTGAAGTGTAGATTGAATGCTGTCGTACCCATTGGTTAACTGGTTGAGCCTAGTGGGCTTACTTTGCGCTTCAGGTTTCTTTAAATATTCTTGCACACTATTCTATTTAGGTGAAAAAATGAGAAGTGTAAAACAGTAAGAAGTCACATAAAACTATGTTCACTAGTGGCAGAATTAGAAATTAGTGAGCCTGTAATACACTGTTAGATTCCCAGTGTGGTATAGTGGATAGAGTGACAGACTAGAACTCTAGAGAACAGAGTTAAAATTTCCACTTTCGACATGGAGACCCATTGGAGCAGTGGAACTGGTAAAACCGCTCCTTAAATATCTCACTTGAAAGCCGTATTAGGGTTGCTATAAGTCAGTTTCAATTTCATGGCACAGAATACACAATATACTGTTACCTTAGAAATTTTAGGAACACCGAATACCAGCAAAGGATATCACCAGTGTGATAGGAAAAGAATAAAATAACATACTATGAAGTCTGAAGACAGCTTACCAACACTAGTTGGTAGAAAGAAAATCCTAGGTATCAAAAGAAAATTAATGAGAATGGAGAGCTTTATTTAGAAGTTATGGTATGCCAGTTTCTTCAGAGTATTCTTTTGGATAGTCGAAAAAAACCTTGTCAGAGTTAATGTATGGCTCCAAAAGTGTCTGAAAACGCTATAGATAAAATGAAAGATGTTTGCTGTGATTTATGTCTTTATTCTTATACTAGAGTAAATCTGCCAATGAGATTCTGGGCACTGTCTTCAGTGAACCTACTCTTGTCTCCATTCTATATTCAGCCCATAACCTGTTCCATTTTTGTCACAATGCTCAAGATGCAACTGGAGCTGGCTTTTTGAACTTGTAGAAATCTGTAGAAGCAGTGGGAGTGAAATTTCAGGCATGCCTTTAAGGTTCTGTGTCCTGTCCTGTTGTCATGTAGATTACCAGTTGTGCTGTCACTTTCTTTCTGCTTATATGAAATAGTAATAATAATTCCAACTTGCTGCAATCCTTGTCGGGGTTTTCTAGGCATGGAGCGCTCAGAGGTGGTTTATCATTCCCTTCTTTTGGAGGCACTCTGGAACTATGCAGCTTGCTCAAGGCTACACACTATGACTCTTCTCACTGGAAGCACTGTGGGGATTTGAACACGCAACCTCTAGCTCCACAAACATACTTGTGGAGCTTTCCAGCCAGCCATACCCATCACTAGTCATGCACTAAGGAAATATACAGCAACTCACCGTAAATAAATTATCCATGTCTCTGTAAGGAAATACCTGTACAAGGTTGTATTGGGACCACAGTGGTAAGCACAGATTGTACACTATGGATGGAAGTGTATTGCTATGACACATTTTCCTGAAGAAGGGAAAGGCAAATGTTTGTGCATTTATAGTGATGAAACAGGCACACTCCATGCAAAAAATGATGCTGAGATATGCTGAGTGAAATTGTGAGTCCTATAGCATTTGTTGTCCCTTATGAATGGGGTAAAATAATGGTTGTGAGGGGTTGAGAAGCTTCCTTTGCTTTGTTGTAATACTGAGACTGATGATTGGACATATGTGTACTACTAGTAGAACAATAGAGAAACAGAGCAAGGGTGGAACCCTTTTATGTGCATATTGCAAGTGCTGTCTTTGTGTCTCCTAGGATTCTGAGTTTAGTAATGCTGACCAGATGGATTTATATGACGACGTGTTAGCTGCCAGCTCACAACCATCAGAAAGTTGCACTGCCACCACTGAGCCACCACCTGAAAACCGCCAAGAACAGTCTCCCAAGCCAAACAGCAAATCACCTGCTATCCTGTATACCTACAGCGGACTGCGCAATAAAAGAGCTGCTGTTTATATTGGCAGCTTCTCCTGGGTAAATGTGCTTCCATATCAGAGCAAGATGTAAAGGAGAGACAGTAACTGATTTATCTTTTACTGAACCTCTGTGAATAGTGTGGGAGATTTTGTTTTTGTTTTGTTTTGTTGATGCTTTCTGTAGAGCTAGAGTTCCCAGTAATGTTGAATATAATGCATGCTGGATATAGCTTTGCTATTATTGACTATCATGAGACGGCACAGAGAAGTTTGAATATGAAAACAGCAAAAATGTGTTGTTTTCAGTATAGTGATTTTATTTTAGTGCATGGTGAGCAACTTGTAGCCTTCTGTCATTTTGGACTACAACTGCAATCAGTTCCAGCAAAAGCAGTAATCTTTTAATCCTTTTATAAACTGTTTTTCTTCATAGCTATGGGAGAAAGAGAGTGTAAGTAAAAATTAGATTAAAATGAAATGGAACAAAATTGCCCACCCGATATATAGCATGTCTTATTTTTCTTAGAAATTACAAAAATCGAGCAGCTTCTGTTTGCAGAACGTGATGTTTTTCCAGTAGAAGTGTAATGTTAAGTGGAAAAAGCCCATAGTATAAAGAAAGTGCTAAAGCTTCTTGTTACGATATTGTAGCTTTTTGTCCCTTTGCATGCAGTGGACGACTGACCAGCAGCTGACACGAATCATCCGCTCTGTGGGTGTTTACGATGTGGTAGAGCTCAAGTTTGCTGAAAACAGAGCCAATGGCCAGTCCAAAGGGTAAGCACAAGATTTTTCATGAAGGAGCCCTCAGGAAGAGTAGTTGTTGTATGAGGCACAAAATAACAATAAGCATACTTGAGAAGAGTGTACCAATTAGACAAGATTTCTTCCTAATTTTTAAGGGTGCAGCAAATGGCTGCTTGTTCAAGTGATCTGGAAATGAGATGGGTTATTTCCACTTAGAGAAATCTTAGCCCATGTTTGATACACTGCTCTCCTTAGTGTTAGTTTTGTGTTTAGAAGGTAGGAATTGATTGTTCTGTCCTGTTGATGAGGCTGCTTCTGCAGCAGTGTTGCTTTCTGAGATGATTCTTGGAAAACAGTTTATCCAGGAGATCTGGCCAGTGTTTAATTAACTTTTCCTGTGGCTCTGAAAAGGTACGCAGAAGTTGTGGTTGCTTCTGAAAACTCTGTTCATAAACTGTTGGAGCTGCTGCCAGGCAGAATTCTTGATGGAAATAAGATGGAAGTAAAGTTGGCTACCCAGAAGAACCTTGCAAAATTTGAAGCACGAGCTCGAAAACGTACGTTGTATTGGGGAGGAAATATTAATTATGTAGGGAGCAAAGCAGGGAGAGAGGGTGGGATTTGATTGTTGAGACTCCAGTTATATCCACCAAAAGCAAATTAAGTTAGAGCTGGGGATATGAATATTGCAACTATGCATTTATATATATTTTTGAAGTAACTGAGTCTAATTAAAAAAACAACACTGTATGATTTCTGACATAATGTGAAGATCTTGAACTGAGTAGGTTTGTTAATATTTGGACATCATTCATTTCTAGGGTTGCCATAAATTGGAAGGGACTTGCTGGCACACAACAACGAATTGTAAGTGTTTCCTGGCTTAGTTTAATCTTTTTTTGTTTTCTGTCATCCATGTAATCCTTCAATAGACAGATTTGGCTAACTGTAACGAGCAAAGCCTCAACAGCTATATGGCATTGTTTTGCTTTAACAATCTCTTTGTTCTGCCCTAGAAGGTGGCTGAGTTTCAGTACTGGAGGTAATGTTCCACTTTCATCCACTTACCTCAATAGGATATCATTGTGCAAGTTGATTTTTCTATGGTAGAAATATCAGTTTGGTTGCTGATTTGTGAGGTGAAACATGTGCAGTTAGCCTCATCGAGCTGTTCTCTATTATTTCTTTGAATGGATTTCTCTTCATTTAGGAGTTCATATTGGTGGATGGCAGTATTTGACAGTAATACTAGCATGTTAACCTTTTCCACAGGACCTACAAAAATGATTTCCACTACCTTGTTTCCTTGCCCAAAATGCCTGAAAAACAAAACTGTTTTGGCTTTATTAATATCTATTTATACTGTGCCCTCCCCTACCCTTAAGGTAACAATATAAAACAGAAGAAGCAATCTGATGATAAACATATATGCATAACAGTTAACATTACTTTCATTATACTTTCCTTCTGCTCTTTACAAAGGAAAGATAAACATGATTTCAGCTGTGACTACAGTGTGATTTAATACAATACAGCTGTATCCCAGAACTGACTTGATGGCACACAATTATTATTAGATACTACATTTTAGAGGTCAAAATCCTCAAAAGTTGTGCAGGCAGTTACAAAATTCTCACCCATCCAGAAGTCATGTCCAGCAAGTAGCCTGGCAGATGGAATAGCTAATTACACAATGAGACATACACTCTGCCTAGGTTCTGCAGGTATACCTTTATGCAACACGAAGTACAATAGGACTTCAGCCAGAATGTCGCAAACTTGCCGTCACCAGTTCTACTTTGATGGTGGTATGTATAATAGATTTCCATGGCTGTAACTATTTTGCATCATTGGGATTGTATGGCCCTATCTTCTGAAACGTTTGTCAACTCTTGTTTTCAACTCTGTAGTCATTTCTATCTGGAGTTATGGTACACCAGCTGGTTTAGCTATACTTGCAGAAGACTGATTATGTCATTGGCAAGGGAGATTTTGCTTAATTAAAGAATTCCCCCTTCTCTTCTCTGGTTTTTCTTACTTTTAAATAATCTCATTCATCAATTGGAAGCCAGGGGAGCCACAGGAAAGGGAGATTAAGGATATCATCCAGAATTATGGTTCATACACCTGAATTTCGGTGCTTTAGGTATTTGCCTGTGGAGCCAGATGTTGGGGATCAGTTTTCCACAGTGCCTCCTGCATGTAGAGCCAGCCTGTGTGATGATAGGAAGGCTGCACAGTCCCAGGAAACCCCCAGAAGAAGGGAATGGTAAATCACTTCTAAGTATTTTCTACCAGAAAACCTTGAAAAGGGTCACCATAAATCAGAATTACAGCGGGGTCTCGACTTACGAATGGTTCTACATACGAACTTTTCGACGTACGAACCCGCCCGATAGGAAATTACATACTCAACATACAAACTTTCCTCGAGTTACGAACAGGAAAAAAGTGCCCCCTCCCTCCCCTTAGAGGCTTCTGGAGGGGGAAAAAAGGTCAGAAACTTAAAAATAAATAAAAGAAAGTCACTTACCAGGCCTTGGTAGCCCCCGAACTGCAGGAAAAAGAGCAGCAAACAGATAAAAGCCGACACCCAGCAGGGAGCCTGGCAGCCATTTTGTGCTTTTCTCTGCTCCTGGCCCCTCCTCTCCCCGCCTAACAGCTGATCGGCTGGCTCTGAAGAGGCTTGGGGAGGCTTGCTCAGCACCTAAAAAGCCTGCCTGTGTCTTTGTGCTGAAAAAATCAGCACAACATGCTTTAAAACATGCTTTAAAATTGGCTTTGTGGAAAAAAAAGATTTCAAAAGTGCTTTTAAAACTGTTCCCTGCCTCCCCCCTCCTTTCCTGAACTTTTCTTGACCTAAGAAAAAAAGAAAAAAATATCCCCCTCTAGTGGCAGAAGGCGGAATAGCAGCTTCCCATTAGTTTCCCATTAGTTTCTATGGACTGAAAAGAGCAGATACGGATTAAATGGTTTTCAATGCATTCCTATGGGAAATGCAGATTCGACATACGAACTTTTCGACCTATGAACCGCCTTCCAATGTGGATTAAGTTCGTAAGTCGAGACCCCACTGTAACTTGATGGCACATAATTGTTATTGTATAACTAAATTTAGAACTTGCATGTTCAGTTGGTTGCTCCTTAGAGTACATGTAAGGTAAAAGGAGCAAAGAACACAGTAAGCCATTTATGAGTTCCCTGAGAAGGCCTTTATTGCATAATACTGCCTCTTTATGATAACGAGAGATCTTGTTTAAAAAACAACTAAAAACATTGATGTTCCGGCAGGCCTTCCCCTTAATCAACTCCTGACCTTTTTTCCTCTCCCTACCTTCTGCCTTCATTGTTGAAACCCTCTCTTAACGTAGAATTGTTTTTATATATGCTGTTTTATATGTTTTGTAAGCCGCCTAGAGTGGTCTCAATCAGACCAGATAGGCGGGATATAAATAAAATAAATAAATAAAATAAATAAATATTCAAAAATTATCTATTATTTCACATACATTATTTAAGAGAGTTAGATTAGTAGGAACACCATTTGTCTGCAGCTTTACTGTTGCATCCATTAGCTTTAGCCCAGATTAACGAAATAATGTAATTTATCTAAACAAAAGCATAGTCTGTTCTAACATACAGTATTGAATTAATCTGAGAGTGAGATTTCATTGCAACAAACATTTGCAGAAAGGGGAACCCAGAGCATGTCAGATTTTTGCTTTTCAACCTAAAACAAATCAAAAATCTCTCATTTCTAGCACAGCTGAAAGTGTATCTTGTAAATAAATTGTATTGGAGGGAGCAGGAAAATTGTAAACTTAGTAAACCAGGAAGTTAGTGCTTTTGTCTTTTCACTGAACTTCCTTGAAAAATACTCTATTCTGATTGGCACCATATCTAAGTGGGTTATACAGCAGTTTCTTTGAATACTCAGCATAGTTTGATTTATTTTTCTGGGACATGTCAGTATCATATTCCTCATGCTTTGATTTTCTCTTGCAACTGGCTGATTTTGTTTTTTCTTATATTAGTGAAGAATAGGTATTCTGTAATATGTGTTTCCTCTTCTTGGATGCACTACTTTATGTGGTGAGGCACTTTGAGAGTGTCAAAGAAGCCAAGAGCAATTCTCTCAGGAGACTAGACTCCCACTGTGAGCTTGGACTCCTGGCAGGAATACCCAGGGTGGAATGTTTGCAACTAAGGCTCCAGGCTACAATGCATCCACCTTCTTCAGCAGAAGAGAATGGATAGTTTCAGTGATGATGGGAGCAGAGAAGCTTATGCAGGGCAGCAGTGGTAGCTGAAGATGACACTGGCGGAGGATTTTTCACAGATAAAGGCAGTGACGCTCAAGTTAACTTCTGTTAGTACAAAAGGTAGTACACTACTGCACTTCTTACTTTGAAAACTTATGACACTGTCCAAAATACCTAAGTCAGAAAGCACTCACTCACCTCCTGGGGAAGAGCAGTGGACAAGTTAAACTAATGCTGTCATTAATGATGCAACCAGATTAAAGCCGAAAGGATGTCTAGTGGCTGATGTGACACAGGGAAAAAGAAAGTCCAATGCTGCACATAACATAAAATTAGACATGGAATGTGAGAAATATAAATCAAGGTAAACTGGAAGCCTGGCGTGCTCTGGTCCATGGGGTCACGAAGAGTCGGACACAACGACTAAACAACAACAAAACTGGAAGCCATAAAGCAGTAAATGGAATACTTAAATATTGCAGTGCTTAATGTCTGTAAACTAAAATAGACTGGAATGGGGCTACAGAGAGAGCCACAAAGTGTTTTACTCTGGGAATGACAAACTCAGAAGAACTGGAGTGGCTCTAATACTGAGGAAAGTTGTAGCACAGGGAGTTAGGGGGCTATGATGCAAAGTAACTGAATAATATTAATCAGATTTCTGGGGAACATATCAACATAATTATTTTTATTTATTATTTATTTGATTTATATACCGCCCATCTGGCAGCCAAGGTCACTCTAGGTGGTTTACAACAAATGACAAAAAACAACAGAGTAACAAAATAGCAAATAGTGAGATTAATACATGGGGTGAAAATAAAAAAATCATAAAGTGAAGTGAGGATAAAATTATAATACAATAAATACAATTAAAATCATAGAAGAAAATAAAAACATGGAGCATGACAATATGATAGAAGTTATATTATTGAACACGGTTGTATCAGAGTGTATATTCAGAGAAGGCTTGTCTAAATAGCCATATTTTTAGCAGCTTTTTGAATGTGCCCAGTGAAGAGGCCAGGCAGACTTCAGGCAGAAGAGAGTTCCATAATTGTGGTGCTACCGCCGAGAAGGCCCGAATTCTAGTGGTTGTTTTCCAGGCCTCTCTTGGGGTCAGAACTCTCAGCCGCCCTGCCTGCAATGATCGTATAGGATGGGCAGACCTAACCGGAAGGAGGCACTTGGCCATAATAATAATAATAATAATAATAATAATAATAATAATAATAATAATAATAATAATAATAATAATAATAATAATAATAATAATAATAATAATAATAATAATAATAATAATAATAATAATAATAATAATAATAATAATAATAATAATAATAATAATAATAATAATAATAATAATAATAATAATAATAATAATAATAATAATAATAATAATAATAATAATAATAATAATAATAATAATAATAATAATAATAATAATAATAATAATAATAATAATAATAATAATAATAATAATAATAATAATAATAATAATAATAATAATAAATATTCATAGCCACTGCTAGGAGACTTTAGTCTCCTTTTCACGCTCCCTGGCTTCCCCCACTCTTAGAGATGAGAGTAAATGGTTTTCAATTTAACTTGGAAGAAATCTATAGTGTGTTTTCCCTCTAGTGTTTTTGAGTGTTTGATAGCAACAGTTTCAGACACAAAGAGGCACTATCTTTTCCACCAAAATGAAATATAATCATACCTTTTATCCCAAATCGATACCGAGCTGTTCATAACCTTGTCCAAAAGCTGTTGTATCAGAAAAGTACGGAGAAAACAACCTCGCCTTCATACTCCCTATGTTTTGACAAACTTTTAGCTCATCTGCCCTGAACCACTTGAGCAGACACCCATCAATTACAATGTTATTTCAAGAAGAGGAAATGGTAGAATCCAGGGTCAAAGGTACCTGTATATAAGGCTTTCCTCTAACTAGAGATACCGAAGAATATGAAATCGAAAACTTTAATGCAAGTATCTAGAAGTAATACTTATAATCAAACTGACTAGAACGCAAAAGTAGGGAACAAAGCAGAACCAAATGCTGTTAGAAACTTTGATCTAGGTCTCAAAAATGAAGCAGGGGAACAACTCAGATTTCTGTGAAGCCAGCAATCTGTATCACAAGTACAGTGGTACCTCCACTTATGAACTTAATCCGTATTGGAACGGCGTTCGTACATTGAAAAGTTTGTAAGTCGAGGCAAACTTTTCCATAGGAATGCATTGAAAACAATTTAATCCGTTCGGGCTGTTTTTTCGTTCGTATGTCAAGGCGCTGTTCGTAGGTAGAGGCATTAGTTCCCATAGAAACTAATGCAAAGCCGGTTAATCCGTACTCTACCACTAGGGGAGCGATTTTTTAAAACAATTTTCTTCTTTTGACCTAAGATGAACTTAGGTTAAAAAAGGGGCAGGAAAGGTTTTTTTTTTTTCGTTTGTAAGTCAAGGCTCCGTTCACAAGTCAAAGCAACATTTTGCAAATGGAGCCGTTCGTAACTCGAATCGTTTGCAAGTGGAGATGTTTGTAAGTCGAGGTACCACTGTACATGTTTTAAGCAATCAGAGGGATAACTGTACATGTGGACATCAATATATAATATAGAAATCAAAGACATTACATATTTGGAAGCAGAAAAGGAGAAGCTGTACCATCTGGCAAGACAAGACCAGGAGCAGATTGTGATATTGATCACAAATTGTTAACATCTAACTTTAGAGTAAGGCTGAAGAAAACCATTGCCAGAATGAACAGTGTGGATAAAAAACATCAATTTAAATCCTTTTTTCTTTTTAATTTAAATTTAAATTGTGATTTAAATGCGTACATTTTGAATCAAATCCACCCTGAAGCGAACTGGTGCTCAAGGTACAACAAAAGCTTTTTATCTTATATGGAGTATGAAATGCCTGATGTTCAAGCTGGAATTCAAAAAGGAAAAGGCACTTGAGATCGTATTGCAGATATTTGCTGGCTACTTGAGCACACCAAGGAATTTGAGAAGACCAATCTGTGCTTTTACAGACTATAGCAAAGCCTTTGACTGTGTAAATCAAGATAAACTATAGGTTGTTCTGAAAGAAGAGTGCCTCAGCACTTGATTTTCCTGATGCATAACTTGTATTGGGGACAAGCTATTGTTAGAATAGAATATGGAGAGACAGAATGGTTTCCTATAAGCAAAGGTGTCAGACGAGGGTGCTTTTCATCTCCCTGTCTGTTCAATCTGTATGCAGAACATATACAAAAAGATGAAGACTGAAACTTGGTGGAAGATGATCAATAAGATAGAAAAAACCTGAAGCTGAGGCTCCAATACTTTGGCCATCTCATAAGAAGAGGAGATTCCCTGGAAAAGACCCTGATGTTGGGAAAGTGTGAGGGCAAAAGGAGAAGGGGGCGACAGAGGACGAGATGGTTGGACAGTGTCATTGAAGCGACCAACATGAATTTGACCCAACTCTGGAAGGCAGTGGAAGACAGGAGGGCCTGGCGTGCTCTGGTCCATGAGGTCACAGAGTCGGACACAATTAAACGTCTAAACAACAAGAAAGATAAATGTGGAAAAATTTGAAATTACTATAAATATGCAGACATACATACAGTTATTCAAAAGAAAATTAAGGAGGTCAGGCACAGGTGTTCTGAACAACATGCAGAATTAAAAAACCTAGAGAAGATCCACATATTTAATGTATATAAAAAGATCAAAGAAGTAGCAGGCATGTTTTAAAATGGCATTGCTCACAATGATTATTAATGATGATTAAAAATTTCTCAGATTGTAACAAAAATAAAAACAAGCATTGTGTTATCTGAAAAACTAACATTTATTTCAGTGTGAGCTTTCCTGGTCTGCTTCCTCAGACACAGAGCACAACGTTTAGGTCACAGGTGAATATACAAAGAGTATGCATGTGCAGCGGGATGCTATAAAGTATGGCTTCTACCTTCCAGACTGTAAAGTCAACCAAAATGTGTTCTATCCATAGATTGTATATCTATTTGACTTCAGCTCAGTACTAGCATTATGATGTGGCCCCCTTTCATAGAACCACAGAATAAGGGAATTGGAAGAGGCCTATATATCCATTGAGTCCAACCTTCTGCTCAGTGCAGTAAACCATATCAAAGCAGATCTGACTGATGGTTGTCTAATTTTCTCTTGAATGCCTCCAGCTACTTCCTGAGGTAACTAGTTCCATTGGAGTATGATTCAGAACAAATATTGCCCCTATCTACAAAACAAATTAAATAATTTATTTTATATAGAGCAGGTGCAGTATCTGTTGTTGCCTCAGCTATTATATCTTGCCTGAGTCTTCTTTTCTAAAGGACAAAACTGCCCAGTTCTTTCATTTTTAACTCAGAGGTTGGTTTCCACTCCCCTGATCAAACCTGTTGCCCTCCTCTGAATTTCTTTCAGTTTGTTGGCAGCCTCCTTATATTGCAGTATCCAGAATTGGACACAGTGCTCAAGATAAGGCCTAACCAGAAGGGAACTAGTACTTCACAGGATTTGGAGATTATACTTCTGTTAATGCAGCCTAAAATAACATTGTTCTTTTTTGCAGCTACATAACACTGTTGGCTCATATTCAGCTTCTTGTCTACAATAATTCTAAGATTCTTCTGACATGTAGTATTACTGAGCCAAGTATACTCCATCTTGTAACTGTGCATTTGGTTTCTTTTTCTGAAGTGTAGAACTTTGCATTTACCCCTGTTAAATTTCATTCTGTTGTTTTTATCCAGTGCTCAAGCATGTTAAGATCATTTTGAATTTTGTTTCTGTCTTCTAGGGTATTAGCCATTGTACCCAATTTTGTGTCATTTGCAAATTTGATAAGCATTCCCTGCATCCCCCTCATCCCGATCATTAATAAAAATGTTGAAGAGCACCGAACGCAGGAGTGTTACTTCCTCCCAGTTTGAGGAGCCACTGATAATTACTGAGTACAATTTTGTAACCAATTGTGCAGCCACCTGATGGTTGTTCTATCCAACCCACACCTAGTTGGCTTGCTAATCAGAATATCATGGGGCTAACTGTCAAAAGCTTTCCTGAACTCCAGATCTATTACATCTTCAATTTTTGGTCACAAACCCCGCAGATGTGCTTTGCAGAAGTATGAATTAGGCTACTTTAAATGATAGCTTGTTACTGGCCTAGAGGTTTTCTAAGTTACAGAGACACAGCACACAAGGCCATTCGTCCCCTTTGAACCATCCCAACAAATTTCTTCAGATGAGAGATGCCTACCCCACAACTGGATTGTGTGATTTATTGTGGCTTGGTTTGTATTGAACGCACACACAAAAAGTCCCACTGCTCTCAAATTGGGTTGGCCCCCTAAACACTCCCAATCGTCTCTTTTCAGAAGCCAGATGGGGACCTAGTAAGCACTGAGAGACCAACAGAAAATAACGAGATCTCCAAACAGTTATTGGGAAAGTATCCAGCCTTAGGTTCTGAGGACTCATTGGCATCAGATTTGACTACTGAGAGAAATGGACTAATGGTTTGCCTTATTATAATAGTTTCCCATGTACCTGTTGTGAGCCGGAGCCTAGCCAGAGATGAAAATATGCTTATTTAAGATCTATGATTGTTGCCCAGGTTATAGGGTTTAGCTTTATTTAGCATAGCATTTGTGAAATCTAAACTCTGGTCAGAATACTCAGAGCCTGTGCTATAACAGAAGTAGACCCACTGCAATCAGTTTCTTTTTATCAAAGCTTGTATAAATTCTTCATCTTTACTAAGGAACAAATAGCATTCATACTCTTATGACACTATGTGGTCATTTCCAGGTAGCGTCACTGAAAGACTGAATGGCTACATAGAAATGTGTAGTTTAAGTATAACTTTAACATCTCTATGATCGTTTAAAAAGGGAAAAAACACTACTGAGGGACTCAAACTTTAAAATGTTCATATAGTCAATATTTGACAACAGCTTGAAACTAATATTACCTACTACTATTATTAAAAACTTGTTCAAGGTGGTAAGGTATTCCTTGACTATCTGTTTATCAATCTCCAGTTGCAATCCTGTTCTACTTGAACTTTACATTTGTCTGTAGATTCATAGTCTGTCCTATGGGGAGAGAGTGAGTTTAAAATAGAATTGATCACCTCTGCCTTTTCTTTGTCACCTGTTACCTTTTTCCCACCTCCATTGAGGAGCTGTGCCACTATTTCTTTTCTTTGTCTTTTGCTTCACACATACCTGAAGAATGTTTTTATTGCTTTTAGTATCTCTAGCTAATATCAGCTCATTCTCAGCTTTTGCTCTCCTAATACCATCCATGCATTTCCCTGCTACTTGTCTGTACACTTCCTTCACGACCGAGCCTTCTTTCCACTCCCTACACATCTTTAGTTTTGTTTTCAGGTTCTCCGCGAGGTTTGTTTGTTTGTAAAGCCATGCTGGCCTTTTTTGCTGCCTCCCATCTTTTTTTTTCTTGTTGGAATTGTTTGTAGTTGTATTTTTAGAATTTCTTTTTAAAGAAACTCTGACCCTTCTTGGACTCCTTTTCTTGTTATGATCCCCTGCTATGGCACCTTACTAATTCTTGTTCTGAAGTTATTAAAATTAGCTTTTTAAAAATCCAGCATTTGTGTGTGGCTTCACTCTGCTTTGGTTTCCGTTGAAATCAAGAATTGTAGTAGAACATGGTCACTCTCACCCAGAGTTCTGCTTACTGCCACTTCCTTCACCAAGTCATCTGTATTTGTTAGATTTAAGTCAAGGTTAGCTAGTTTCTTTCTCCATTTTTATAGGAGAAAATTATCAGCCACACAAGCCAGGAATTTCTTGGAAGGGCCATATTTTGCAGAATTTGCCTCCCAACAGATATCTGCATAATTGAAATCTCCCGTCACTACTACATCATGTCTCTTTGAAATACTTGCAGTTTGGTTTTCAAAAGTTTCATCTGCTTCCTCTCCTTGATTGGGTGACTGGTAGTAGACTCCAGTTACCATGTTCGTTTTATTTTTTTTGCCCCAACTAGATTGATCCAGATGCTCTCAATGGGACATTCAATCTCCTTCTCCTGTATTTCTGTGCAGGACTGCATATTTTTACATATACTACAATTCCACCTCTCTTTCTATTTTCTTTGTTCTTTTAAAACAATTTCTATCCTTCATTTGCTTTATTTCAGTCTTGGGAGTCATCCCACTAAGTTTCCGTTATTCCTATCAAGTTATATTTGCCCTCCTGAACTATAATTTCCAGTTCTTCTTTGTTTCCCATATTCCTGGCATCCGTATATAGACACCAAAGATTGTGTGATTTGTGGCTTGTTTGTCTTTGTACATTCTAATGAATATTATAATGTTGATGTTACTTTTGACCCCCATTTAAAAATTTTGATCTGTTCCTCTGATTGTAACGCTTCATCTATCTTTAACTGCTTGTGTCTCTTTCTGCCTTCCAATTCAGTTTAAACCCCTCTTGATTAAGCCCTTCATGCTGTGACCAAAGACATTCTTCCCAGTCCTTGTTATGTTCAAGCCATATCTTACTAGCTGTCCTCCTTCCAGGAAGCTTAACCCGTAGTCCCAGAAGCCAGATCCCTCATGTTGACACCACCTTTGTAGCCAGTCATTCACCTGGAGTATTTTCCTTTCCCTTTCTTTTCCTCTTCCTAGTACTGGTAGGATGGATGAAAAAAAACTATTGGGCCCCAGAGACCTTGAGTTTCCATCCCAGAGCTTCAAAGTCTCATGTGATTTCTTCAAAGCTACTCTTGGCTGTGTCATGTATCTGTGGATTTTATGAGTTATAGCAGTCCTTCCGTCACATCCTGTTATTGACTTCCAGGGAGACAACATACCTGGCAAGTCCATGGATCTTCCCAGCATATTTCTGTCCCAACTTCATACAGTAGGAAATCTCCCACTGCAACTACTCTTCTCTTCTTTTTGTAGGGTGTAGGTTCAGTGACTGTATTTTGCTGTGCCTCAGCCTTTCTAATGTCTTCCTGTGGGGTCTTCTGCATGCTGTCTGGCAGACTCCTCTTCAAGAATCTGAAAGCAGTTTTGCAGTTCCACTTGTGAAATTTCTTCTTCTTTTGCTCCTAACTGTGACTGTTTTCCATGGTGGTTCCTCCACTATATTTTTACTCTTCTCAGCACTCCCCTCCATTGCCTTGCTTTGACTTTCTTCCATCTCCAGTGCCTACTGTGACAGCTGCTGCTGCTCAAGAGTTGTCAATGTATGCTTCATCTTCCCTTATAGCCTTGAGTGTGACTACTCACTGCTTCAGTTCTCTCCCTTTTTCTTCTAACAGTGCCACTAGTTTGCACTTGTTACATGTGTATACCGTGTTACACTCAGAAACAAAGACAAACATAGCAAAAACTTTGCATTACTACGGCTGAATTGTCTCCACCCTCCATAATCCCTGCTAGTTGACTCAATCTTCAGGGGTCTTCACATTCCACAAATCCCTAGTCCCACAGAATTCAAAGAGGTTTGCTTTCTCTGAGTATATGTAAGATTGGATGAAGACCTCCGTCATACTTAAAATATTAAGTATTGATTAAGTCCCACTAATTTTAGTAAGTCAACTTAAGATCTTGAACATCCTAACAGCCAGAGCAACCAAAAATACTATGTTCTTAGGAAGATACAGCAGTCTTTTTTTTTAAAAAAAAAAAACCTCAGCTCAAATAATATTTTAGGTTGCTAGTGGTAGCCTTCTCAGCATATGGATGATACATGTGAGATTTTCTGCTAGGTTTAACAGGTACCTGAATGAACATTACAGACAAAAGAAAAGACCCAAAGATTATACACCCATGCTGCATGTGTAAAGTAATTTTCAATGAAACAAGATATATCATGCCAAGAGGCAAAAGAAACCAAAATATATCAGTTTGCATTACCTGTTGCCTAGTGGTAGATATCCCAACCATTACTTGTTTCATTAATCAGGTGGTTGTGAAGATACAGCTGTTTCTCGTTGATTTGACTCATATTTTCTTTGGCAAAGAAACAGAGGAAAAACACCACAAAATAAGGAATAGCAAAAGAAGAAAAAGGCTTGGGATTTCACAGTGATTTCCAATACTTCCTCTTTGAGATTGAGTTTTCAAGTACAAGACCAGGATACATCAGTGTCTTGGGCTTATGAACATATGAATACTGTAGAAAAAGTGAATAGCAAGTACACTTACCCCATAAAGACAACTGGCACTAAAATTCAGAAAGACAAAAGCAACGGCAGCTAGCACGTACTGAGGTTGGAGTGGAAAGCATGAATAGCTATCAGGAAGTAGAGCCAAGTGGAGCAGTAAGTGTTCCAGTAGGTGGAGCCACAAACTAAAGTTTGTTAATAAAACGACTACTGTATTTCTGTTCATTCATACAGACACTGATTATAACGAATGAATCTTAGGGTTCTTGGGAAGTATGAAGATACACTCATACCAGGAGAAGGAGTATAGACAAGATACAAGGACAGTTTAAGTGATGGGTTCACGTTATCCTTTTCTCCCATGTGGTAGTTTCCAGGTAGTATCACGGAGAAAAACTCATTCCCCTTAGTGTGGGTTGTGCTTGAAGGGAGGGATCTATAATTCACTCACAGGTTCCTGCCTTCTCTAGAAATCCCCTCCTCCCCATAGCCAGATGGATCCCCCCTCGCGGCCGGTCGTTGCTTTCCTCTGAAGGGGAAAGGGGGTTTCTAAAGCTTTCCAAAAGAGACACAGTAATCTGAGTTTCCGGTTTTAGAGAGATCAGGTAGGAAAGTGGAAGATGGAAACACTCGGGAAAAGGATCACCGAGTTCAACGGCACAGACTTGCAAGCCGATATGCACCTGGGGTCACAGCCTGCGAGGCACACAGCAACGCTAGGAAACATTTTTAAAGGGCGATCGGGGCAGGAGTGATGCCACCTCCCATCACGGCCAGCAGCCATCATGTTTTATTGCAGGCGAATGTCTCGTCCCCCCATCCGAGTCACGATCCTAGGAAGGTCTATCGGAAAGGAGGCAAGGGAGCTGAGAATAGGCAGAGGAAGGAGAGCGGGCGGGCGGCTGGCTGCGCTCACCCGAGGAGGAGGCCGTTCTCGAGCATGCCCCTCTTGCGGCTCTCATACAGCAGCCTCGCCCGCTTGGTCTCCAGGGGCTCCTGCGGCCGGGCCTGCCAGGGCGGCAGAGGGATCTCCAGCAGGTCCCGCCCGGAGTCGGAAGGAGCGTCCCCGCGGTAGCCGCGTCGGGACAGGCAAAGAGCACGGCCGGGGAGGAGGAAGAGGCGCTGCAAGGCAAAGGAAGAGAAGGACGAAGCGACCCTCGGTCACCGGCCTCGGCGAACACCCCCTTCCCGCCGGCAAACCCTCCCCTCCTCCCGCCACAGGCTGGCTGACTCATTCGAATCGCCAGCGCCGCCATCTCGGCCGCTCTATCCCTCGCTCCCTACCATAGACATGCGGCTGGTCTGACGGGATGCAGCGTCTACGGAAGCCGCCAGTTTCTCGGCCCGGCTTCTCCTCTGCACATGCGTGTTAGAGCCGCCCCTCACTCCAGGTAGGTGCTGCTGCTCCCACGAGGCCCTTCCCTCTTTTCAGAGATACTCGTTTTGCGAAAAGACAACCGCCCCTCCCTGCTTTTAAAAAAGAAAGCCTTCGATGCTTTTTCCTTTTTTTTTTAATTCGCGCGCAGGCAGCCGGAGAAAGCCGGATGCGCCGGTCCCTCTCCGGAGAGCGGAAGGGGCGGGGCAAAGAGAGGAGGCGCTCGCGGCGGCGGGCGGGAGGGAGCGAGCGATTGAGAGACAGGGGGAGGGGGAGAGAGAGAGCGCGACACAGAGAGGTTGGCGCGCGCTTTGGGCCTATTCGGGATTTGGGGCCTTGCGCGCCGTGATGGGGCCGGAGCGGCACCGGGGGAGGTGACGGGGTTTCGTATCCGCGCAGGCCGTGAGAGGAGTAGCGGGCCTGAAAAATGAGGAGGGGAGGAGACGGGGTGGCTGCCTGGCACGGGCGAGGGACCGCGCGTAGTTATGGCGGCTGCCAAGGCAGGCGGGCGGGCGAACTGCGGTGGCGGCTGACGGGGGGGCGCGGAGTTATTTCCCTCCCTCGTTCCCCTTCTGGGTGGTTTCTGTCCTCCCGCTTGGCTCGAGGGATTCCGTTTCGGGACCCGCGCGGAGAAAAAAGGGGGGCGGGGCTGGCGCTGCCTCCGCCTGGGGGGGCGGGGCTGCCGCTGCCTCCGCCTGGCGGCCGAGCGAGCGGGTCAGGCGGCGCAGGGTTAGGCCCTCGCTCGGTCGCGGCCCGGTGGGGGGGGAGGCGAGCAAGGGAGCCCAGCCGGGCACTAACTCGACGCCTTCTTCCCTCCCTTCCTCTGGCCCTGCAGTGCGGCTCTTTCTCGCCGGTTCTCTCCGGGGCGCCCCTGAAAATATGTCGGAAGGAGTGGACCTCATCGACATCTACGCCGACGAAGAGTTCAACCAGGTGAGGGCCGGGGACAGACCCGCCCGGCGGGGGGAGCGGCCGAGGGGCCTCAGCGCCGGCCGGCCGGCCAGAGGGTGGGGGCGCCCCGGTCAGGCAGAGAGGCTTAAGGCGGGCTGAAGGGCCCGACCTGCGGCGTCTCTTCAGGGCTTCAGCCCTCAGGGAAGCGCCAGATGAAGCTCAGCCTGAGACAGGGCAACCTGCACTCTTGACGCTGACTCGGGCCCCGGGTGCAATGGACTGGTGGTTGGTTGGGTGGTTTGACTGGTTTTTATATCGCCCGTCTGCCTACCGAGGCCGCTCTGGGTGGCTTACAAATTCAACAGCATCATTGAACAACCACACAGAACAAATCCCGTAAGGAGAGAGACGGCCATGCCGCCAGCGGGAACGGGGTGGGTGGAGTGAAAAAGCCAACGGTGTGCCATCATCAGTGTTGTGGCTGGAAAGATGACAATAAAGTTGCTGGGCTTGCTCTTTGGTGTGAATCATTTGAACACCTAAGAATGTTGCCGGAGGCTCCTCATGAATGTTCCTTGAAGTACTTCCCAACAATCCTTTGTTGGAGGCTGGAAGGTACACTACTTTATATTTTTTTAGAGTGGATGCTTCCTTGTGGTGGCATGTTCATTTCTAAGCAGAATATTATTCTAGGTAGCCTTTAGATATCCCTAGATAGAGTTCTTGTAATATATTTAAAATACAGTTGAGGATGTTATTTTTTAAAAACATGTGTAATCCAGTTTCTGTTCACACTGGGACTGTTATCACAGGAGCCACTGTTTATTACTATCCTAGCTAGATCATGTTCAGTGTATTTTACCAATGGTGTAAGTAACAATCAAACACAGAAGCAAAACTATGGTTGATTGTACCCAGCTCACTCTAGCCATGCATACAGAGTATCAGACATAATGTTTCAAGGCGCTGTGCACTGCATTTGTTACAGCACATAGCTTGTTCTCTCCTAGAATATGATAGATTCTTCTGGCTGAAGCTATAGCACTCATTCTTCTTTCTCTTATAGCATTTAGGTTTTATGTCTGGCTGTAGGTAGTGACTCTGTTTCATCTTTGGAGCAATGGAATTGAGATTTTTTTTTTTGCAAGAATGGAGAATATACTAATAGTAGTCTTTCCTTGTTTACTATTGGACCACATGGTCACTGAAAATATATCTGTAAGGTTTTTTGCTTGTTTTATCTAGTTTTGAAATCCTTTTTCTCTATCTAGCCAGTAAAGAAATAGTGTACATGTACACAGTGTTGTTGTCCGTTCAAGTTTCTCATTTTCACAGGTGATTTCTCTGTGGAGAGCTGTTCATTGCTGTGATTTGAAGAGTCTTGTTCTAGGCAGTTTTAATTGTAGCTTATCTGTAATGTAGATAGTTGCTGTTAAAATTCTGGATAACTGATTCATATGCTTATTCTAAATTGCCCGTTGTAATTGTGCTATGGGGAAAATACAAGATGTGTTGAGGACCATATTCTGCTGTTTAAGTACTGATTGCACATTCCAAACTAGTTTTCAGCATATGGTATTCTATGCTGTTATGTGATGCACATCTTTCTTTTCTTCCATTCATAAGTTAATTCATTTATTTATTAATTAATTATTTAAAATATTTCTGCCCCACTTATCTTATGGTTGCTCACATCATTTAAAGAAAATATTAAAAGGTAGAATTAATAAGTATACAAATACAAAAAAGTATCAAACAAATACTACAGTAAAAGATGGTAAATAGAATCAACACCAAAACACATTCAAAACAGTAAGGCCCAACAATCTATTTAAGAACCCCACTCAGGCAGCCAATAATTAAGGGAAAGCTTCCTTGAAGGGAAAAGTGTTTGTCTGCTTTTGAAAGTACAGCAGTTTGTCAAAGAAGAATAATTGGATAATTAGAATGTGGTCTTGTGGCTTCCTCCACTCCTTATTTTTAATACTATGCATGGTAGAAGCGTTAGGGGTGAGGAATATGTAATTAAGTCCCAGACAGAGCTTTGGATACAGGCTATAGTTGTTGTTCCACTTATGTTTTGCTTTTTTTTTTCATCTTTCTGAGTGACTGGATGTGTTGTCCTCTTTTTTTTTTGGCTTTGCATGATGGATTATCTTATTATTTAGTTGAAGATTCATCAATCTTATGAAGAGAATAGCATAGATACAAACAAATAGTTGCTTCTTATTATGGAGAATATGCAGGGCACATATACTGTTACCTGCCCCTTCCAAATCTGTTTTCACTGAAATTGCCATGGTGCTAACAGTCAGCAATGCAGAGAGGGAAAAACAACATCAGATTTTGACACAAGAACTGCAAGTTCTGAGAAGGAAAAGGCACTTCTTCCTTGTTGCTGCAAAAATTGGAAGGCATTATGGAAATGGAAGTACATCGTAAGTGCCACACACCACAGAAGTTGCCTATCTTTGCCATGGTGTTATGGATGTAGTACTTTTATCATTTGATTTCCTTTTGTGGGGATACTGTTGAGTTTTTAGGTATTTTTGTACAGAGGAGAAACAAAAACATTCACAGCTGCTTCTCTCTTTTATTCTGGTTGTTGTTGGTAGATATTTTGGTGCTTCCCTCTTGTAGTACTGTAGTGCACTGGTGCCCAACCTTAGGCCTCCAGATGTTCTTGGACTACAGCTCCCAAAAGCTTTCACCACCACCTCTGCTGGCCAGGATTTCTGCAAGTTGAAGTACAAGAACTTCTGGAGGCCCAAGGTTGGGGACCACCGCTTTAGTGTATTCATTGTTGATTTCCATTTAGGTGCTGCTTTTGTTATCAGTTTGCAGTCACTATGTTTGTAATCTGCTGAACAGCTTGATGTGTGCCCCTTTTCATTTGAACCTTTTTCATTTTCTACTGCTGTGAATTAGTTGTGATATCATTCAGAGTACAGTATAAAGAATACTGCAGGTGTAGTTTCATGGAGTAAAGTACATTCTGAGAAATCCAAAGACACTCTGCATTGTGAATTAAGTTGAGACTTTTGAGGAGAAAGGTGGTATATAGATACAGTATATTAAATTAATTAAATCAATGCATACAATGGCTCTGGTCCACAGTTCCTGCGATCAGAATTCTTTTCAGCCACTGGAGAGAGAGAGGGGAGACATGTTTCTCCCACTTTGTCCTTTCTGTTTGGGAGAATTGGCAAGAGATGAAAGGGGAAATCAATGAAAATTGCCTTGCACACTTCTTCCAGGGTAAACTCCATTAGTCTTAGTTATTTTTGTGAATGGATCTTTATTAGACTTGATAAAAGGAAAAGACAGGCATTGTTCAGTTTTTAAAAGGATCCAAAGTGAACGAACCCAACTGTTGTGCCAAAATTACTGATTTATTTTTAAGGTGGATATTCCCCAGGATTTTACCAAAAGTATTGTTATCAAAGGTGTGTGAAAATTTGTAGTTCTTGGCTCACTTGAAAGCCCTGAAGAGTAAAGAATTAGTATTGTCTCAATAGATCATCCTGCACTGAAGGACAGATTGAATGCTGTCATGCCCACTGGTTAACTGGTTGAGCCTAGTGGATTTATTTTATACTTCAGGTACCTTTAAGTATTCCTGCACACTATCTATTTAGATGAGAAAATAAGGACTGTAAAACACGCAAAGAGAAGTTGTATAAAACTATGTTCACTATTGGCAGAATTAGAATTTAGTGAACATGTAATATACTCTTAGCTTAGAAACGTTAGGAACATCAGCAAAGTCTGTCATCAGTATGATAAGAAAATAAAATAAGGTACTACAAAGTCTGAAGAGAGCTTGCAAGCATTGGTTGGTAGAAAGAAAATCCTAGGTATCATAGCAAAATTATTTTGAATAGAGAGCTTTATGTAGAAGTTATGGCATGCCAGTTTCTTGAGAGCATTATTATGGACAGAAGAAAGTCCTCTTGACAGATTTTTTTAATGGCTTCAAAAGTGCATGAAAAGGCTATAGATAAAATGGTGTTTGCTTCAGATACTGGCTACTAAAGGCTTACACATGGTGTTTGCTTCAGATACTGGCTACTAAAGGCTTATACATAGTGTTTGCTTCGGATATTGGCTACTAAAGGCTTACGCATACCCCCCACACCTCATGAGAAAACATGTAACATTCTTTTGGAAATGTCGCCAGTAGTGTCCAAGATTGATTCTCGTTTCCTTAAAGAGTAAGCAAGAAACCAGAATGAGTTACTTGGAGTGAATTGTTTCAATGATGCTGCTGGTCAAGCAAGAACAGTATAGTGCTTCCCATTCATATACAGTGGTGCATCGCTAGACGATTGCCTCACGGGACAAAAATCCCGCAAGACGATTGGTTTTTGCGATCATTGGTGCCTCGCAAGACTTTTTTCTATGACCGTGCTTCGCAAAACTTTTTTTTTTTTTTTAGACCGATACTTTGCAAGACTTTTTTTTTCAGACCGATGCATAGGGAACCTCGCAAGACTTATTTTTTCACAAGACGACAATTTTCGCGGAACGAATTTAAATCGTCTTGCAAGGTACCACTGTATTTCATATGGGATTCTGCAATACATCCTATCCAAATAACAGTTCAGAAATGATTCAGAGATCAGTTTCCATTCAGTAGTACCTCGGTTTACAAAATTAATGAGTTACGTATATACGTTCCATAAAAGGAAAATTTTGTAAACCGGAACGCGGATTGCCATAGGAACAGGGGTAGCGTTATGGCAATGCATCCTGGGGAAACTTTCTTCACAAACTGAAAAGCCTGAGAAATAAACAAAACAAGGCATTGTTTTCAATGGATTTCCATTCGTACTGCGAAAATTACGTTAAACAAGGCATTCGTAAATTGAGGTACTACTGTACACCCTTTCAGTGCTCTTGGTATTGCTAATTTAGTTTCTTACTTTGTAACTTTGTTTGATTAGACATGTTACAGTATATAGAATATGTGGCAAATCTTTCGTCCAGAATGTATAGGATTACCAATATTGTAGGTATTAAATGGGTGTAGTGTATATTGTCTGAAAGAAGAATTGTGTGTGTGTGTGTGTGTGTGTGTTTAGTCATTTAGTCGTGTCCGACTCTTCGTGACCCCATGGACCAGAGCACGCCAGGCCCTCCTATCTTCCACTGCCTCCCGGAGTTGTGTCAAATTCATGTTGGTTGCTTTGCAGACACTGTCCAGCCATCTCATCCT